CACACCAACAATTAACCTGGTATATATTGAAGCCACTTAATCAGTTAAGCTTTCATTCCATCCTCTTCCAATGAATGCACAGAAATATAAATACAAAATAACTATATTCACAGAATATTGATTTCAACCTTGGAGATGGAGTTATTAAAGCACCAAACTAGTTGTTCAATTTTCACCAAAACTTACTCCTATCTCCTCTTCATGGCTGGTAGTTGAATAATATGAGAGTTTAGGGTTACCCACACACTTTAAAAAATATGACTCCCTTATACTTTTGTTTTTATTTATTTATTTATTTTGTTATTATTAAAATCTTATCTCTAAATTAGAGATTTCCACCATAAATTTATTTTAGGTTTAAAAATTAATTAAAACACCTTCCAAATATTTAATTTGCACTTTAGGATTGACCAAAAAAATATTTGAGATTGTAATATTATTATTATTTAATTATTTACTTAATTTTTATATTCGGGTTCTCACAGAACAGGAGCTCAGTCAAAAATTTCCCTCAACAAGGGCTCCTCAAATAGTGACCTGTACGTAAAGAATTTCAATCTCCATCAAGAAAGAAGAAAGAGTAACCTTCTAATTCCTGGAAGTCCAGTAAAAATGATGACTTTGGTAAGGAATGGGGGGTTGACAGAAAACTAAACTTGGGGACAGGACAAACAAGCTCAAAGACAAGTGGTTGGTCCAGTTGGGGGATTAAATAATTTTCAAAAAATTGTTCTTGGAAATTCGAAAACCGAGTAAGTTTTGGATTTAAAATTTATAACAATTATTTTAATATATACATTTTCATTCTAACAATATTTTCATACACTAGTCTTTCAATACTATTGAGTTAAGTGGTTGTCCATGAGATTTGCAAATTTATTACGAGTGATTTTCATAAAAAATGTAAATAACAATTAATCTTCCATACCTATGGGGTTAAGTGGGCGTGTGTGGGATTTACAAATTTGTTACGATTGATCTGCGGATGGGTACGTTACGACCAATGTTCAGTTGATGTTGTAAATGTTTCCTAAAATATTACAAATTGAATATTCAAAAGTTGATTTTAAAATAATTCCAAATGACAACAAAAATTCAAATAGTCATACTTTTCAATGAAATACAAATAGTTGGTCGTAACAACGAATGATGCATAGTTAAGTGAAACGCAACATTGCCTACATAAGCTTCCTTTTTTCACACATTGAGTAGTCAAATCGTGGAGAGACTTGTTAGTATATGCAGATGGATTGTCAAGTCATGTGACTTGGTGCACAGGCTTTGGTTTTCTCGATTTTTTGATTATAGTGACAGCTCATCTCTTATTGATATATGCGGGATTCTCAATTCAGAAAGTTACATGGCAGTAGTGAATTCACTGATTTACCTTACAGTGAGCATGCCCTTATTTTGTCGGTATATGCAGATGGATTGTCAAATCATGTGACTTGGTGCACAGGCATTGCCTTTCTCTGTTTTCTGATTACAGTGACAACTCATCTCTTGTTGATATATGTGGGATTGTCAATTCAGAAAGTCACATGGCAACAGTGAATTCACTGATTTACCTTACAGTGAGCATGCCCTTATTTTGTCGATATATGCAGATGGGTTGTCAAGTCGTGTGACTTGGTACATAGTATTTGCTTTTCTCTGTTTTTTCATTCTAGTGGCAACTCATACCTTGTTTGTATATGTGGGATTGTCATGCAGAGACATTTATTTTCTATGGTTTTTCCTTCAATGTCTTTCTAAAGCCGTTCATAACCAACTATATAAACGACTAAAGGTGAAGACACAACCTTACAAATCATTTCGCCCTATGAAATTATCATTCATTTGTTTAAAAAAATTAGCATGGCTACAGATTCATGGGAGGGAGTGAGAATCGCAGAGGTGGTAGGAACTTGCAAAGGGGTGACAGTTCATGACGAGGAGGGGCAAGGGGACGTGGCGATGCTGAAGACGAAGCAACAATACCTGTTTTAGATTATGCTTATGGTTATCGTGATAGGTTTGGGAAGCGACATTTTTTGATGCCCAAGTATTTTCGAGTTCAAGGAGGTTCATGTATGGAGCCATCTGACAATCAAATAGGATATGGTTTATCTGACGCTGCTCGTCTCAAGTGGCCCACACTATTTATACAGCGGGTACAGCTGGAAAATCAACTTAAGGTGCCAAAAACACGTTCTGTTGAGATCCAAAAGGAAGATCCTGATAATGTTGATCAACTATGTGAAAGACTACAACGTGAGATTTCTCAAATGCGCCGTAGGTTAGCCCGCGATATGCAACTATACATAGTTAAGAAGGATGTCCAGAAAAACAGAACAGAACCAAATGTTGCGGCTATCAAGGGTATCATGGAGGATCTTGAACTTGTCTTTGACGCTGAGCTTTTGGATTATTCAGACTCTGAGATTGCCGATTTAAGCGTGAATTAGGTGTTAATGTCTACACTTCGGCAATATTAGGTCATGCATTAATATGTAATGTCTGTGTTAGACTAAGTGTTTTCGTAATGAGTTTGTCAAATTGTTTGCCTAATATTTGTCTGTCTAACTGTTATGTTTATGTATTGTGTGTTCAGTTCAGGGTGTCAAGGATGTATGTATTGTGTGTTCAGTTCATGGTATCCAGAATGTATTTTTGTGGGAGACTTATGTCTGTACTACCTATGTAACTGAAAACTGTTACATTTGCAACTTCAGTTATGTTGTTTTCATGCCTGTATGAGTATTTAGTAAATTAGTGACTTCGTATATTATGTATTAAGTTTTATTACGAAAATGTTGACAAAATTTATTTTAGGAGAAATACACATTCTCTTAACTTGTTCATCTTCTCAATCGTGACAACCCAAAAATTTAACCATTATTCATTGAATATAACAAATAACGTTCTCATTCTTACAAAAAATACACTACCAATTGAATAAAACAAATAACCTTTCCATTCATTCACTTATTACACAACATCAGTCTTATGAAAAAAGCGAAACCAATTGAATCACAATAACATCAACTCCAACCTAATATTTACATTACATAAGTTCCTGTTCGTAATCAGAATTCAAATTACATACAAGTTACATTACATAGCAAAAAACGGAAAAAGTACCATTCGTATGTAAAAAATACATCACCAAAATTTGAGATCTTTCTCTTATTCCTTCTTGCTGCAGCTCTCGCGGTGGCCTTCGTCTTCTTGGCCTACTCCGCGGTGCTCTTCGCGTCTCACCCTTCGTCGTTGTTCGTCAAACTGCACAGTGTGTGGGTGTGCTTCGAACTGTAAAGCATGTATATCACCTTCTAACCCAAAACAAAGACGAAAGAATTTTTTTTTTTTTTAATGAAAACGGCTAGAAAACGGTTTTACTAAACCAGTTTTCTAAATTACATTATCACCTTCTAACCCAAAACCAAGACAAAACAAAAAACAAAAAAAAATTATATGAAAACGACTTTAGTAAAGCCAAAAAAAAATTCTGAATTACATTATCACCAAAACAATGACAACAGAAAAAAAAAATTTAAAAAAAAAAAATAAAATAAAATTTAAATGAACAGTAAAAGCGTGGTTGCAATCCACACTTATTGTAGTGAACAGTGAAAGCGCGATTCACAATCACGTTTTCTTAAGAAAATAAATATGCACAGTGAAAGCGTGGTTTAAAACCACGTTTTCTTCAGAAAATAAAATTTAAATTATATGCACAGTGAAAGCGTGATTGCGAATCACGTTTTCTTAAGGAAACAATATACACAGTGAAAGTATGGTTTGGAACCACGTTTTCTTCAGAAAACAAAGAAAACAAATTTATCTTAAAAGCGTAGTTTGTAACCACGCTTTCATAATTAAAAGCGTGGTTTGTAATAGCGCTTTCACTATTTCACAAATTTTTTGCTCAAAATAGTGAAAGCGTGATTTGTAATAACACTTTAGCCTAGTTTGAGAATTTTGTCCAAACTATGCCTAGTTTGGGAATTAAGATGGTAATATGGCTTAATATGGGGAGGCTCTATCTACACACACCAAATCCCCTCTATACACACACTTAATGATATTTAATTTTATTACAATTTTATCCCTAAGTGAAATTACTATTTTAGACATCATTGTTGATTCAAAACATCTCAATGCACACATCCATCTCCAGTTCACATCTGTTGCACATCCATCTCCAGTTCACTTATGTTGCATCGTGGGTCCAAGTTTGTAGCTTCATTGAGCTAGAAAGGAAAGCAGAGTATTCACTCATTCCTATCTTTTTCCAAGTTCGTAACTTCTTCCATTAAGCTCCAAGTTCGTAGCTTCTCAATGCACTAATTCATCAACCTTCCTCATTCGTAGGGAAAACATCATTGTTATGGAGGATTTGCCTTCTGAAAATCAGCAAATAAGCGTTTATGAGAAACATAGCAAAGGAAATGTGAAAACATAGCGAAGGAAATGTGAGTTCCTTTTTTTTTTCGGCGTCGGTCGGATAACCAGAGTCGAATTGTATTGTTTGGTTCGGAAATCTACTACCGAAATAAGTGTTTAGTTTCGGAAGTTATTGTCCGAACAAAATAATTAGTTTCGGAAGTTGTTGTCCGAACAAAGTATTTAAATTCAGAAGTTGTTGTCCGAACAAAGTTAACTTTTACAACATTCAACTTTCGAAATTTGAAAATAAATTCGGACAACTACTTCCGAATGAAGTAAAATTTTTTTTTCCCATTTTATATTCCAAATTTGCAAACTGCATACCAAATTTACAGTTTTGAATTGCAAATTAATCTTTATAATGTCATTAAAAATTTGTAATGTTATACAAAACATGTAGGAATATGTGTCAACTCAAGGAAGTCAAGTTTGCGCGGATTTTGTGTTGGATTACACTACTCAAAAGTAAGGATGAATTGCTCAACTAGGTACGTGAAGTTGGAAAGAGAAATGGTTTGGTCATTGTAATCAAAATATCAAACTATGGTGGAGGGAAAAAAAGACCCATGATGTATCTTGCTTGTGAGAGGAGTGGCCAATATAGAGCGACAAAGAAGTTAAAACATGATGGCAACAATACATCAAGAATAACCGGAACGAAGAAGTGTGGTTGTCCTTTTGATATGAGGGCTCACAGGTTTACCACACATGATGAATGGATATTGACCGTAGTATGCGGATTGCATAATCATCCACTTGCGGAGCACCTTGAGGGACATTCATATGCGGGGAGGCTATCAAAGGATGAGAAAGCATTGTTAATGGATATGTCAAAGAGCATGGTTCGGCCAAAAGAAATCCTAGTAACCTTGAAACAGCGAGATGCCCTCAATGTAAGCACATTTAAAACCATGTACAATGTACGCCATCGAAACAGGGTGGTACAGAGAGCTGGAAGATCACAGATGCAACACTTATTGGATGAATTGGCCAAGTATAATTACATTGAGCGCCATCGATCTGAAGAGTCCACGATGACCGTGACAGACTTGTTTTGGGCACATCCTACCAGTTTGGACTTATTTCGGTCTTTCCCACGTATATTAATTATGGATTGCACATATAAAACCAATAGATATCGTCTTCCTCTTCTTGAAATTATGGGAGTGACATCAACTGAAATGACATTCTCTGTAGCTTTCACATACTTACAGTATGAGAGGGTCGATAACTATGCGTGGGTGTTAGCTACATTGCGTGATGTCATGGATGGTTTTGTTGTGCCAACAATTATTGTTACTGACAGAGAGCTAGCCTTGATGAATGCCATATAGAAGATATTCCCAAGTGGCAGACATTTATTATGTCGTTGGCATATCAGTAAGAATGTATTGACCAAATGCAAGAAAATGTTTGAGACACAGCAGAAATGGGAGAAGTTCAACCATGAGTGGAACTCTTTGGTGTATTCATCTTTTGAAATTCAATACGATGAGCATCTTAAATCATTACTTAAGGAATTCAGTAGTTATCCCGATGCAGTCAAGTACGTCATGGATACTTGGTTGGTTCCTTACAAGGACAAATTTGTAGCGGCATGGACAGACACGTGTATGCATTGTGGCAATGTTACAACGAATCAGTAAGATTACTTTTCTTCAATATGTTATTAATAAGTGCCATGTACTTGATTTTAATTTGACTTACATTGAATTGAACAGGGCTGAGAGTGCACATGCAAAACTTAAAAGACAATTGGGTTCATGTCAAGTCTCATTTCAGGCATCATTTGAGAAAATACACAGTCTTCTTAAGTTGCAACACACTGATATCAAGGCTTCATTTGAGAAAAGTCTAACTGTTATGCAACATCAATTTAAACCTTCTCAGTTCAGGGAGCTACGGGGTAATGTGTCTATCTCTACATTAGAGTATTTGCTTGTAGAAAGTAAGAGAGCCAATTCCATTGGTATTGATGTTGAAGCTTGTGGATGCATCCTTCACCACACTTATGGTTTACCTTGTGCCCATGAGATTGCTGACTATATCAGACAAGATCGTCCTATACCACTTGCTACCATACACTCACAGTGGAGGCAACTTCATATCTCCGTATGCAACAAAGAAGACGAAACGGAGGTGACTTGTCATGCAGAAGTAGAGTTGTTTGTGAACAAGTTTAATGAAAGTGATAGAACCATGCGGTTGGAGCTTTCGAAGAAGTTGAAAGAGATTGTATATCCGGGAAGCACTTTTCTTGTTGAGCTGGAGGTGAAGCCCAAAACACGTCCTCGGGATCATAAGAAAATCAATGTTTCTACTCGTCGTGACCCCTGTGCATTTGAGTTGGTGCAATCTGGACATGATTCCTTCTCACCTAGGGACACTCAAATCACTACATTAGCTCCTACTCTGCAAACCAAGAAGAAACGACCTGTTAAGGGAAAGGAGAAGGTGAATTCGAAAGGGAAGGTATACATTACTAGAACAGTGAAACCTGGTGCATATGTTGATGCTTTCCCTTCTGGGTTGAAACCATACATTAAGTTTGTCAAAGATGTAGCTGCGGATGGGAATTGTGGTTTCAGGGCTATAGCTGCTTCAATTGGTCATACAGAAGATGATTGGGCTCAGGTTAGGCGTGATTTGTTGGGTGAGCTGCACACACACAAAGAGGAATACATTACACTTTATGGGTCCTACGAAAGGTTTGAAGAATTGACAAGCATATTGTCATACTTTGAAGGCAGTCCTGGATACTCACATTGGATGACTATGCTAGACATGGGGCATCTTGTTGCATCGTGCTACAATCTTGTGTTATACCACTTGTCATTACAGCAATGTCTCACCTTTTTACCTCTTCGAACAGTGCCAGTACCTCAACTTGATAGACGTGAGATTGCCATTGGGTTTGTCAACGGAAATCATTTCGTCCAGGTATAACAGAAACTTATAAATTGGGTTTGTGCATGTACAAGAAGTTATGAGGTATGACCACTAACTCAATTGATATTTGATGCAGGTTTTGTTGTAGCCAGGCCATCCAGTTCCTCCTATAGCCACTAATTGGAGAAAATACCGTTACCCTTGTGCTGTCGATTGAGATGATGCATATGTGCATCGCATTCAACATTACAAGGACATTATTCATGATAATGTAGCTACTCGAGAGACTTTTGATGTTATTGATGTCGCATGACACATGTATGCATTTGACAATGTTACAATTATGGAAGAAATTAATGGATGTATTTTTTATGTTGATGTGTTATGTGGCATGGATTGAATGTTATTGACCATTGTTACCATTCCATTGTAATAAGAAAATATCATTTACAAAATCAACGACCATTGTTACCATTCCACTCTAATAATAAAATGTCATTTTCAATGGTATCAACCATTGTTGCCATTTCATTCTAATAAGAAAATATTGACCACTGTTACCATTACAACAATATCATCTTACAAAAAACACCAAAAAAAATCATCAACTAACAAATAACATGTCACGAATCAGCTGTATGCCTACGCCTAGGCCTACAACTGTATGTCAATGTCGAAGATGGAAAGCGACCTCCAGCAGAACTAGGTCCAGCTTCGTCAATTCCAGCAGAACTAGGTCCAGCAGAACTAGGTCCAGCAGAACTAGGTCCAGCAGAACTAGGTCCAGCAGAACTAGGTCCAGCAGAACTAGGTCCAGCAGAACTAGGTCCAGCAGAACTAGGTCCAGCAGAACTAGGTCCAGCAGAACTAGGTCCAGCAGAACTAGG